TGTCCTCACAAATGACTTATCTCAAGTAAATGTCAAATCTAAACATTAAGGTCAAAGTGTCTACCTTACAATGTACAATCATCAATACATTATAATATTATGACATAATATCTGAAATAAGAACTTTGGCTATAATTTACACATATCAATGCTTTAATTTACCGTCCTTTATTCTTTCCTAGAATAGAATATCACTTAGCACAGTTCCATTTAACACAATTCCATTTAGCACAGTTCCATTTAACACGATCACGCGAATTCCTGGTCCTTCTCATCAAGGCATCGTCTCGTCAGATTACTTCTTCCCGTCAAGCATCACTGTCTGGCATCACAGTCGGTCCTGGTCCATCTCTGCTTGGCTCATCATCATCACCTCATACCATCATGGTAATCGTCAAAGCTGTAAAACGTTTACCTTTGTGTTCTCCTTATGTGGATCCTCTGTGAATGATGGGGGTCTTGCTCCACCAATGCCCCCTTCTCCTGTCCCCTTCATGGCGAGATTCCTGATGATTCCAACGTTGGTTTCCCACTGCACAGGTAAGGCTGTGGTGAAGGTTCCATCGTTGCCACCATAGACAGTGGATTTTACAGATGGCAGTAAGTACAGTCTCTTCACTGGCACTGCACCATAGCCGGTATCCTTTCCTTGACTTTGAGGTAACATCAATATGTCTGATCCTAAGTCAAACTTCTTAGTTTTGTCTTCTTCATCTCCCTGGATGATCACGGTGTTCACCTCTTCCTCAGAGATTTCCATGCTGATTCTACTACCCATAACTTCATCATTATTCTCAACAACATTATCTGCCATTGTCTCTGGATATCTAGCAGCAAACTTTTCCAACGGTTTCACTGTAAAACCTTTTGACACTTCACTAAACTCATCCTCTTCTCTATCAACAAGTACTGGTACATCCACAATCATTTCTGATTTGGAGGGAATCTGATAATCTTCCACAGCACAAACTTTCCCCAGTGGGCTGGGTTGATGGTTCTGTATGCAAGGGATGGGACAACTATTCAACAGGATGACACCCTCATGGAGATTAATGATGGCTGGTCCACCTGGACCCTTCATCAGCACATCTAATCCCAATAAAATTTCATCTTCAATCTCAGCAACAACTAATTCTTCCTCAAACTTCAATTCTCCTAACTCAAACTGGAACTTGGCTTTCCCCATCTCCTTCAGAGGTTGGCCATTTACACTGGTTAACATGTAAGACTTCTCTAAGTGGGGTCGTACATCCTCAGGGATCTTCCTGTAGGCCCGGTCTGACAGCACCGTCCGGATTGCTCCTGTGTCGACTGTGAGCATGACCTTCATGCCTTGAATCCTCCCTTTTATGTAGATGCCCTCACTCCTCATGAGTTGTCTTGCAATTTGTGTGATACCTTGATCACCAAGGGTGGTTTCTCCTGTTGGTTGTGTTGTCTCCTGCATTTTCCTATGACCGTTATCTTTCCCATCAGTTTGGGTCACTCCCTGGTCAACAGGAGTGACCCTCTCTAGTTTGACGACAAGTGGGTCAAATTTGGAGAGTAACTTTGTAAGGTTACATCTCCACTTCGCTGGATATCATTGGATGGTTGATTGGCAGTACTAAGAGTACTCTGTTGGAATCTCCCTTCATTGTTATGAGTTTTCTGTCGATTCCTCTGTGGACAGCTCCTTGCAAAATGTCCGTTTTGGCCACAAGCAAAGCAAATTCCATTATTTACTCTGCTTGTTTGAGGATCTGCTTGTCCCTTGGGTGCTGGTAGGTTACCATGGTAAGGTGATCTTACATTGAAGGCACTAGTGGGATTTTCCCTCCTCCCTTGCCATTGGTTGGAATCAGATGACCTCTCTGTAGACTGTGTCTGTAATTGAGATCTGATTTGTTCCTCTACCAACTGCTTTACCAGATTTTGAAGATCTCCTTCCTGTATGGTGATGGTCCTTGGAGCACCTGTTTGGGGTTTCTGTTGTGCAGACTTCCATGCTGTTGATTGCTTTTCCTGTGGCTTTACTGATTTCTTAACAGGTTTCTGCTTGACTGGAGCATTGACCTGTCTTGTGGGTTTCTTTTCCTTCTTGTCACTGTCTTCTGGATTATGGGGATATCTGGTGGTCTCCAGGTAATGTACCACGTGATATACAGCATCCTCGATTGTCTCTGGCTCCTTATTCAATTCCACATAAATCCTTGTCTTCTTGTCTCGAAGTCCTAGGAGGAATCTCCTTAACAAATCCTCCTGTCTGATTGAGATGCCTCTGTTTTTGTAAGCTTTATCATACAAACGTTTAAGCTCAGCAGCATACTCCTCGGCTGATTCACCAGGCTGTTGGTTCCTGCGGGTAAACTGCATTATGTAGAGTTTGGTAGTCTCAACTTCACCAAATCTGCTTTGTAGCTCCTTCAGTAGGCGTTTGTAGTTACTTAGGACTGAGGTGGGTAACTGTCCGTATGCAAACTCCCCAGCTACTCCTTGTAGCCTTGGGAGGATTTCACGCAGTTTTTCCTCCTGTGTCCAATGCTCAATATGGGCGACAGCCTCAAATCTGTTGTACCAAACTTCCCATTTTTCAGCCTTTCCTGTAAAAGCTGGTAACTTCACATTTGATTTCTGGCCTTTGTGGGTTGGTTGGAAAATTTCACTGGTCCTGACACTGCCATTTGATGACCGTCTCCTGGGTATTGGTTCTATCTCTTCCTCTGAAGATGAGGGGGATTGATACTGGTCCCTGGGTGTTAACTGGGTTTTCCTCCTCTGATGTGCCATGCTCCTCGCAAGGCAGTCAGAGGACTTGCCATTTTCCAGGTTTTCAACAGCATGGGCAGAATTCCGTTGATCGGTAAATCCCGCAAAGGCTGTCTGGATAGCTGAGATCTGATTCGTCATCTCCTTCAAGGCTCCTTTTATTTCATTAAAAATACCAAGTGAATTGTCTCCCGCATCGTTGGAAGAATTTCTTGTAGGAGTTGGTTCTGTTAGATCAGCGTTTCCCAACCTCCTCCGTAATCCAGGTCTTCCAACATGCCTCAATGGTGTAGGCCTTCTCACTTCATGTGGATCTGTCTCTCGCCTAATGCTTGGTAGTGATGGACTGCTTCTCATATGGACTTCAGCTCCAACGTTGATTTGTGGTCTGACAGTATTTGGCATGTCATCTTCCTCAGATGACCCAAATTCATTTGCTGTAGTTTCATAATCTGTTTCTCCTTCAGTGACAGTTAAGGCTTCAGTGTTCATCTCATCATCTGTAATCTGCTGTATCTCCTCATGATCAGCCTGACTTCCCTCACGTCTAGTTGTTGAGGCTTGTTGTCTCCTCTTCACCATTTTTGTAGTTAGAGATGTTCGTTTCACTGGATTTGTGGTACCAACACTCCTTGGTTGGAAGTACAAATCCTACCGGCGACGCCAAGTGTAACGGGGTGGGGGGGGCGGACGGTACCTCTCCTACTACTACTGCTGGGACCGCACTCCCTCACTCTATCTATAGGGGTTGTCTTATCTTTCGTGGCAAGGCTTGCGTTACACAGCTCAACCCGAGCTCAGGAGGGCTAGTATGGAACAGTGGTTAAAAACTCAATACTCTTTAATCTTATATCACCACACACTAAATTATCTCCCTTTAATCAATGAACTCAGATAATACACCACTGCCCAAAACCTAAACCTCCTTTTATTAACCCGCGCTCTCTAAGTTACACTAAATTTATTAATACACGAAATCTCTCTGTTTTACTTCTCTATTTTTCAAGCTTGTTACAACCTAGATCTAAGGAAGTCACTATAAATTCTCTAATACTCATTTATTTCATTAATACTCATTTCTTACTCTTTTAAATCCCACAATTTCCATCTTGTTGGAAAATCACACTTTGATAAAACCTTGTAAATCTCTGTACTTGAAATGAGACAAAATACAGTTTTACAATTTATTATAATAATTATCTCTCAATTAAACAATCAACAAACAAATTCTAAGTTCTGTCTCAGTCTGTCTGTGTCACCTATTAGTCCTGACTTACCTAAAACCAACCTCAATACAACTCACAAAACTCCTAATTCTCAAAACTTCCTCCCAGACCTCCTGGATGAAAGTAAAAACCAATAACTAAAACTTAATCCCTTAAACCTAATTAATTCCTAACAAATTTCAAACACCAGTAATTCCTGCAAATTTCCTAAGTCTGAATTTCAGTTTAAAACAGTAGCAAAATTTAGAAATACACTAAGCTTCCTTAGCTAAATGTATAAATTACCTAAACAATTTCAAGTAATTCTAAAATTTAACAACAATTTACCAAAAATTCAAACAACCATCAAATTTTAACCAAGTCCAATTTCTCAGTTAAAATTCACTAAAATCTGACCAAACTTCTTATAAATTCCACAAATATACCAAAAGTTCCTAAAAATCCTTAAACTAACCCTGGCTCTTCCTAAAATAAAACTAAAAAGTCATTATTAAATCTAATTTAAAAACGCCCAACCCATACTAACTCCTTACCCCTAAAACACGACTTCTCTAAACAAACCAACCTAGCAGAAGAGCAAAAATTCCTTGAATCTCTCTCTTTTATACCATAACATGACGTAAATGTTGGAAACTGTTGGACTCACTGGAAAACGTTGGAGAATCTCTCGTGACATTTCCCGTAAAATGCAAAGTCTATAGAAAAATCTAATAACTACATACAAGACAACTTTTCTGAATGAAAGTAATCTCTAAATACATTCTTCAATTAGAATAAGTAAATTAATCTCTAAATCAACAAATAACACAATTAACTCCAAAAATCCTAAAACTATCGTAACTTTTACGATCGGGCTCGACCTACACAATTTACGACCGCCAAGTTCGTAAACAAATCTACCAGTTTGCAACAGGACATTAAACTGCCAATAATTAACTGAAAACAAGTTAAACTTCAAGAAAACATGATTTCATCTATAAATCTATGGTTAATCTTCTACAGAAGACCAATTAAAGTACCTGAAACATGAAGTAAGCTAAAATAACAGCACAACTTTACTACTGCCATGATCAGCTGATTTCTACGTAACTCAAAACATGTGCACAAACTATTTCAACTCATGTAAATCACTTAAACTTGTCAATAATCACCTATCAATTACATGCAAAGCATAAATTAATACATATTCCTGCATGTCAAGTAACTATAACACATAGATTAAAAATTCATCTCAACTCTCCTACAAATGTCAACAATAATCAGGTTCAATAACTCTGTATAAAACTTATCTGTCAAATCTCTGGACCGTTACAATATTTAGTAGTAATATTTGAAGAAAAAAATTCATATTGCGAACTCGCTATAAATGTTTATACGAATTTGTTATACGGATATAACGAATTACGGATATAGCGAATTAAATTCACAGGTCTCCTGGACTTCGCTATAACCGAGTTTTACTGTACCTATATTTTTAATATTTTTGTTCTTTATCATGTGTATCCCAAATAAAAATCAAATTGTTGTGTATCTTGTTTCATTTAGATGACTGATGTTAAGTTTTTTCATTGATATCGTAAACATAATTAGTATTTTGATGTTTTATTTAGCAATGGCATTACGCATCTTTCATAAACAATACAATAAACATTAAATAAACAAAGCTGCAGATTGGACATTTGTGACCAGTTAAGAAATTTATGATGTACAGTACTAAATTGTTTTAATAAACTTATCTTTCACTGTTTCAGATCCAGGTCAAGAAGAAGGGATAGGTAAGCTTGTACTAATCTTATGATTTCAAACAATCTTGTATATTAATTAATCCTGTGAATAGCAAAAAAATGTCTGTATATTTGGCATTTTTGAAGTCAAGTTACAGTAATATATACCCAAAACATAAAGCAATTAAATTTCAAAAAGACAAGGAAAGTTGCACCAATTTTTTTTATTCCTTGTGGTCCTTGGCTTTAAATACAGCAAGGTTCTTATGGGTTTCAGAATATTTATACCTTGTTATTTATTTTATTTTAGGTCAGGTTCCAGGTCTAGGAGCAGCAGGTTTGTATTAAACAAAACCAAATTATAAAATTGTAGCTTGCCTATTTTATTATGAGGATGGCATTTTTGACTGGGTTAAACAAGTTTTCTTCATTAAATTCTAAATGGAAACAATAATTATAATTGCTTGAAAAATAAACTTTTGATATTAAATTTTCATACAACTTTTAAAATTTGCATAAAGGATGTAATGTTATGACCATTTATGTGGACTTTGTTGTCAGTTTTGATTTTTAAAGCTATTTTTATTAAGTTGAATGTGATTTCTTTGTAGAAGAGACAGGGACAGAGAGAGAAAATCCAGGTCAAGGTCACCAAAACGTGAAAAAAGGAAAGAGTCCTCCTCCAAATCTCCACGAAGAAGTCGAGATCGCTCAGATGATAGAAACGACAAGGAGGGTTCTGACAAGGAGAGCCCTCCAAGAGCAGACCAGGAGAAAGTTCTGGATGAGATCAGGCCCTCGCAGTCCCGCTCTCGGTCCAGGAGTGCCCCAAGGTCAGAGAGGTCAGCATGTTCTGGAAGCAGGAGTCCCCCTCTAGGGAGGGAGGAAGATGAGGAAGACTAAGGAGTACTGGACCAGGCAAATTGGTTGTTGTTAATCTCTTTGGACTGAGAGGAAGGGTACTGGACCAAACTGATTGGTTGTTGTTAATCTATTTAGTGTATTTTATCCATTCAATGTTTATGTGTAAGAAAATCATGATTCTTTATGATTGTATCATTAAATATGAAAAACATACAAAGGATTTGACTGTTTTTTGTGCTTGTCAGTTACAAATACCTTCAGTTTCCCCAATGGAAATCTCTGTAGATGTATCTTCATCAGTTTATGCAGTTGAGTGTCTTAAAATCTGCTGGCTTCGCAGCACTGTTAAGGCCTACTATGAGAAATCAACGGAAAATAGACGTGCAAAAAGTGGGTTTTTTTAAAACTGGATTTATTTTAATTAAGCTGTTTTATTATCAAAGAACTTACATACTAATGGAAATAGCATAGTATAACCCACTCTTTACTGTATGAAGTTTGGTCCCATCGATGGACAGTCACGTGATGAATGCATAATATGTCTACTGAATGTAGGTCATTAACAAATTTCAATATTGCAAGGGCATACCCTAGTTGAAGTTAAAAACTCCAGCTATTAATTGTTTCTGCATACTTTGTACTTTCTGAAAATGTTGCTGCATTGAATAGAATTCGCATTTTAATAGTTAAAATTTCAAGTAAATAGGCCAATGTCGAAATATGTTTGACTTTTACCAAATATTTTGTGTACTTATAAAATCACGCTCTCGATTTAAAGAAAGCAGCAGCACTTTTCAAGTTAAGGAAAATATCATATATCTACATTCAAAAAATGGTTAAGATCTATTCAGTGTATGCCCTTGCGAAAGTACGATTTTATGAGGCATCTCGCTGTTAAATATAGGTAACCTGTACATAATAACACGACATAATTAATTAAATACATTCTCTTGATAGTTAATGAATAAACGCAATAAACATAGGATATACATTGGTATTAATCGACTGTTTGAAACCTGTATATAATATTCCGTTTAATAAAAAAACATTTTTCATCGTTTACCAAAATGACGTCATGATTGACAAGTTCATTGAGATCAACCAGCTACTTAGGATTTAACTAGCAACTTTTTTTAATGCATTAATAAGTTTTTTTGTTGTTTATAATGCTAATACAGTTTAAAGTTGCAAATCATTTCATTTTCAGGTATTTTGAGGAATACATAACAGTCATATTTTTGTGTGACGTCACAGTAAACTTTTCCCTTATAAATTAGACCCCGCCTCCTTTTTTCAGCCTTAACAATGCTGCGATTGGATTGACGATGTATGAAATGAGTAATGCATCAATTTATTGAAGGATCAACGTTCATTTGGTACTGGTGTTAATGTGATATGATAAAAATTTTCCATCACTTACTAGTAGTTCAAGGTCAGATTTTAAGTCGAGATATATAATGAGAAATACTTCAACAGGCCAAGCTTGGGACAGCCCAGTTTTACACTGAGCTGCAACAAAGATTTGCTTTTGTATGCACATAAAAAAAAATTCACAACAAAATTTGTTCTAGAAATTTGTAAATTCAATTTTGATATACATGTATAATATTTGTATTGCTAAAACACACTATATCTTGAATTTCCCCAGTGAATACTTGTATACTTATAATAAATTAAAAATCATGCACTGCAAACCCAGAGACAAAATGTATGACATTAAAAAAGCAAAGGTTTAATTTTCTGAAATGTGAATCAAATATGTTGGTACGTAAAGAAGCCTTCTCACAAGAAATACAAATACGAAATATAAAACCCTAGCAACGCCTCTTCAAAAGGTTTGGCCAGTCAAACTTTGGAGTCAAGGGTCAAGGTTGTTGGTTTCTAAAGAAAGGCCTTAACACAAGGATTACATATGCAAAGTATGAAAGCTCTTGCCGTAACCGTTCACAAGTCATTACCAAGGTTAAAGTTTTTAAATAGTAGGTCAAGGTCAAAGGGTCAGAATTTTGGTAACCAGTGAAAGGTATTGATATAAAGAATAGAATACTTATTTGAAGTATTAAAGCTTTAGTCCTTGCCGTTCAGAAGTTATCTCCAAGGTCCAAGTTGTTGGTATTCAATGTACGTAAGGTCTTGTCACAAAGAAGACATATGTGAAGTTTGAAATCCCAGCCCTTACTGTTCAAAAGTTATGGTTAGTTAAAGTTTTTTTTAAAAGTAGGTAAATCTCCAAGGTCAAAGTTGTTGGTATCCAATGGAAGGTCTTGGTAAAAAGAATATATATGTGAAGTATGAGAGTCCTAGCACCAACCGTTCAAAAGTTATGGCCAAAGTAAAAGTTTTCGATTTTGGTGTAAAAGTGTGTCAAACTCCAAGGTCAAAAAGTCAAATTTGGTGGTACCCAAAGAAAGGTCTTATCACAAGAAATATACATGTAAAATATGAAAGCCATAGCCCCATTGACAGTCAAAACTTTTGGGCAAGAGCAAAGTTTTGCGAACAAACAGACAGGCAGACGGACAGAAAGGGCAAAAACTATATAACCCCGAATCTTCGATTACGGGTGCAAAAAAAATGAAACTCTCTAAATAAAAACTTGTTATTTAACCTTGTAATAAGAAATGTGTATCTAGAACCAGTAAGATAAAAAGCTATCACGTTTGATTATTAATTTGCTCTCCGAATTGAGCTTAGGTGTAAGTATGAAAACAAGACTTTGAAAGAAGTTGTACGGTCATTAGTTATAGCATCTCTAGATACAACAATCTAGATTTCCTTATATATGAATCCCTTATAAGCAAGTTGCTGTATAGCACTAAACAGATTGGACTGTTCTTCAGTCGAAAGTCATATATGCATATACATGTAAACTATATATTTCATATGCTAAGACCCAACAGCAATACTTCTTCCTCTTCGAAGAGGAGCATCCTCGCAAGGATGGAAGAGGAGTTTTAAAAGACAAAACAAAATTATTCTACATGTGAAGAGTCTGTTTATTCGTTTTTGATGAACTGTCCGTCCCACCACCTGTCATTTGACGTCTCATCATGGACGTCCTCAGGGAGGGACAAAGCTGGCTGGTCCTTAGACTTCGCCATTATTTCAGCCTCCATTTTTCTCTGTTCCGTTCTACTAGCACAGCATCTGCAAAACGGCGAAATGTCAACATCATTTATGAAATACTAGTACACATGCATATAAAGTTATGATATTGTTTTTGCACAAACTTTAAGTTTTTGCTTTGTAGTCAAATTTTGGTTTCTTGTTCCACAAAAAACAAATGGTTAAGAATCCCCTTTCCTCTATAATTTATTCCAGTTATGACCCCCCCCCCCCCCACCTCCTCGATTCCTAGTGAGTTTCTTAGAAAACTCATATATCGAGGAAAACGTTTTGAAATTTCCATAAAATGTATTTCCCTCCCTACAAAGACGAACAATATATTCAAGTTTGGGATTTTCAACGAAAGAATTTCTAACGAATAATATACACACATGTAATACGGAAGCGTATTAGTGCCACGCAATATTTTTTTTTTAAAGTTGGTATTTCCAACTTTTAAGTTGGAAATTCCAACTTTAATCTAGGCTTTTCCAGCTTTAAAGTTGGTAATTCCAACATTAATCTTGGCTTTTCCAACTTTTAAGTTGGAAATTCCAACTTTAAAGTTGGTAATTCCAACTTTAATCTTGGCTTTTCATACTTATAAGTTGGAAATTCCAACTTTAAAGTTGGTAATTCCAACTTTACTGTTGGAAATTCCAAACTTTAATATTGGTAATTCCAACTTTAATCTTAACTTTTCCAACTTTAAAGTTGGTAATTCCCACTTTAAAGTTGGTAATTCCAACTCTACTGTTGGTAATTCCAACTTTAATCTTGGCTTTTCAAACTTTAAAGTTGGTAATTCCAACTTTAAAGTTGGTAATTCCAACTTTAAAGTTGGTAATTCCAACTTTGAAGTTGGTTATTCCAACTTACTGTTGGTAATTCCAACTTTAATCTTGGCTTTTCCAACTTTAAATTTGGAAATTCCAACTTTTAAGTTGGTAATTCCAACTTTAATCTTGGTTTTTCCAACTTCAAAGTTGGTAATTCCAACTTTAATCTTGGCTTTTCCAACTTTAAAGTTGGTAATTCCAACTTTAATCTCGGCTTTTCCAACTTTAAAGTTAGTAATTCCAACTTTAAAGTTGGAAATTTCAACTTTAATCTTGGCTTTTCCAACTTTAATCTTGGCTTTTCCAACTTTAAATTTGGAAATTCCAACTTTAAAGTTGGTAATTCCAACTTTAATCTTGGTTTTTCCAACTTCAAAGTTGGTAATTCCAACTTTAATCTTGGCTTTTCCAACTTTAAAGTTGGTAATTCCAACTTTAATCTCGGCTTTTCCAACTTTAAAGTTAGTAATTCCAACTTTAAAGTTGGAAATTTCAACTTTAATCTTGGCTTTTCCAACTTTAATCTTGGCTTTTCCAACTTTAAATTTGGAAATTCCAACTTTAAAGTTGGTAATTCCAACTTTAATCTTGGTTTTTCCAACTTCAAAGTTGGTAATTCCAACTTTAATCTTGGCTTTTCAAACTTTTATTCGAGCTCTTCTATCTCTTCTTGGCTTTTCCAACTTTAAAGTTGGTAATTCCAACTTTAATCTCGGCTTTTCCAACTTTAAAGTTGGAAAATCTAACTTTAATCTTGGTAATTCCAACTTTAATCTTGGAAATTCCAACTTTAATCTTGGCTTTTCCAACTTTAATCTTGGCTTATCCAACTTTTTTCGGCTTTATGTATTATATTGTCTTAGATACTTTTTAACTTAAATTGTGTTACGTTTTATACATGTAATTAAAATGGAAAGATACAATTTTGGCGGTTGCCGATCCCCCCCCCCCCCCCCACCACCACCACCACCAATAATACAGAAGTTGCATACATATAATATTGGTAGTTGGTTGTTGATAGTGCCCCAAACTGAAAATATTATGCTCCATATACAAAATTGATACGGTCTCAAATGCTTAATAAAAGTCCGATCTCTTAAATATCTTAGTTTGAAATCCTGTCATGTACAGAGTTGACTGAAAGTCTTTATACGAGGGTTATGTGACTATTTTTTTTTCCTGCAACAGCTTCGACATTACTTCCCATACTATCAACCAAAGAAAGCATTTTATTATCTAATATAACTTAAGAAATTAACATTAACATAAAATAGGATCCTATCTAGTAGTCTTTACATTATACGTAGATTTATTTTTACTTAATAAAAATTTGACACTGAACAAATAAACTGGCACAGATAAAAATTGCTAACCAATTCATTTCAATGTACGAATATATTAACTTTATTAAGCATAATTCAAGTTTTATACCATAACTCCCGATGGACCCGTCCACCCTTCTTAAAGAGCCTCTCTTCTGCAACCCCCCCCCCCCCCCATTTAGGTTGCGAAAATTTATTGATACCCCGTCTGTTCCAGTGTATTACAGTTACATTAATAAAGTTGGTAATGGTTTAAAATAAAAGGGAAAACTAAAATAAAAAGGGGGAGATCTCAAATTAAAGTTGGAAAAGCCAAGATTAAAGTTGGAATTACCAACTTTAAAGTTGGAAAAGCCAAGATTAAAGTTGGAATTACCAACATTAAAGTTTGGAATTTCCAACCTTAAAGTTGGAATTACCAACTTTAAAGTTGGAAAAACCAAGATTAAAGTTGGAATTACCAACTTTAAAGTTGGAAAAGCCAAGATTAAAGTTGGAATTACCAACATTAAAGTTTGGAATTTCCAACCTTAAAGTTGGAATTACCAACTTTAAAGTTGGAAAAGCCAAGATTAAAGTTGGAATTACCAACTTAAAAAAAAATATTGCGTGGCACTTATATGCTTCCGTATAAGTGACCCCCATCCACCCTGTCTTCAATGCTATGCCAATCTTGCTGGAAACTTACGGTAGATTGTCCTCTACTGCATAGTATTTCTTCTGAACTCTATCAAACAAGCGATCCAGACAAGGAACTGTGCCCCTTTTGCACCAAAATAGGTAAATGTACAATAGAGCCAGGAGGATAAAAGTCACCCATACTCACTCCAATGGCAATCATTTTATCCCACCTGCAAAAAAGACATTACCACTTTAGTACATGTGTATACAGTTGATGTGTATGGTTTTTAATTAAAAAAATATTTTGATATACTAATAATTATCTTCATTAACAACAAAAAGTTTTAATGTCGTAGAATCAAATTTTAGACTGTTTCTTTAAATAGAGGTATCCAGTGTATCACGTGATTATATTTCTACTCACCTTTCGCCGGGCTTGCAGCAGCCCACGGAGCTCTCCTGGGAGCAGCACTCGGTCTTGCCCTGGGCCACCAGGGACTCGTCTGTACAGTCCATGTAGTTCCCTTCGTCTGATGCAGGCTTAGTTTTGTCCACGATACATTTCTCATCATCCCCAACAGCTTCAGTGATAAAACAAGATGTATGTGTGTGAAATACTGAAACTTTTTGTGAAGATTTGTGAAGTTTCTCAAATGCAAGGCAAACTTAATGATTGAGGTCAAAAGATCAAACCTGTTGTTACTCGGTCATTTGAAAAGACTTGTGTCAATAAATATACTTGTGAAATATGAATACCCAAGCACCAACATATTTATGTTATGGCCAAGAAGGAATACATGTATGAATGTAAGCACCTTAGTATTAAATTTTCAAAATTCATGGCCAAGGTTATTTATGCCCCGGGATCGAAAGATCCCTGGGGTACATTCTTTTCTTTCCTGTCTGTCTGTTTTTCTATTCTTTTTGTCTGGGTACCACCAAGCCCCACCGCCTTCCACGTCCTTTCAAAATGGGGAGGAGGGTGAGGTGGACAAGTATGTACGTGATCTAGAAGAAAATGTTCAGAGCGTGCACAATATTGCCCGCGGAAAACTAAAAGTCGCGCAAAAGGCAATGAAAAGGTCGCATGACATTAAGGTCCGTACCAGTAAGTTCAAGGTCGGAGATTTGGTTTACTGGCGCCGCAATGCGGGAAAAAAGGTAGAGTCAGTGTGGAGGGGTCCTGGGATAATAATAGAAACCAAATCAGACACAATATTTGTTGTAAAATCTCGGCGCGAGGTCAAGGTCATGCACCATGACAAGCTTAAAAGGTGCGAGTCCAGGCAACTCCCCAAATGGTTAGTAAACTACAAGAATAAGTTGCCCGGACAGTCAGTAGCTCGAGATGGGGATTGTTCTCTTGTACCTGAAGTGGTTGCACCGCTGGGGTCCGCAGACTCAGGATTAAGTCCTGGGAGCCCGGGGAGTGGGGGTCACTCAATAGTTAGCCCCAAGCCAGCGGAGTCAGTAGGTCCGTATATGAGTACTCGTAAACGGGTTAAGGAAAGATTAGACCAGACTAAACAACCCCAATCGCCCAAGAGACCTAGAGCCACTAGGGGAACTAAGACTAAGAAGTATTGTGTTTGCCTACAGTCTAATCCGAAGGGAATGATGGTGCAGTGCGACAACTGTCGGGACTGGTTTCATCCTTGGTGTGTAGGTATAAGTGAGGATTATGCCAAATCTGTACCCCAATATATCTGCCCCGAATGAAGTCCCGTCGATCTTGGTCGCGACTAGTTTGGAGGATTATGTCCCGCAGGGATGCGGGGTTATGTGCAGCTATTTTTAGCTGGATTGTATATATGTTTTTACTGCAAGGGAAGCAGATCCTTAAATTATTCAGGGATATTTTCCTGCTTTTATGATCGATCCTTGATGTTCCTGATTTTTTATATACCATTGATGTACCAAGGAGGATCCTTTGGTGAGCAGTTCCAGGATTGAGCGTTCGCGACGGAGTCGTGGACGTGATGTCACGCTAGACATCATGTCTGTCCTGGGCCCGGATGTCCGGATCTGGAGATGCCGACCGGAGATGTCGCCGAGGAACCATCTGACGAAGACGACCCCGGAAGACCCAGAGGACACAGGTGGACCCGAGAAGACTCGGACGAGAGGCGCCCAGGACCACGTGAGATTCTGTGATATGAACTATTCATTTCTTTTAATTTTATTTTATTATTATGGACATTAATGCTTAAATATATGTAATTTTGATATTGTATTATTATATGCTCGCTTGTTTATCTATGTAAATGTTAGTGATTAAGTGTTATTGATTCTAAATACGTTAGGCCCCGCTAAGATTTAATTGTTTATTTCGATGTATATTATAGTTTGTCCCATTGTATCTATATTACGGGCTGGGACGCCCTTTTTCAAAATGGGGAGGAATGTGGTGGTCCTGGAGGTACTGGGCACAAATTGCCCTGCTACCTCTGATCACAGGGTATACGTCACAGCACCTGTCGTGACGTATACCTATCCTCGCTCTCTTCTTCTGTTATACGCTGCAGAGTACAGACGTGTCTCTGTCAGCTCCGCCATTATGTAATCCATATTGTATAGTATATTGCGGGCACTAATAAACAGCGGATTATCTTACCATAGTGTTTTCTCTGTTCCGCCATCACTGTAGTATTAGTTAATATAGAGAAACGCTATACTTTCATTGCAACATATATCAGCAATATTGTTCTTCAGTAGATGATTGTAGTCTGAACTTTTTTTCTTTGAAATTGTCATAAATGTTGTGGATATTAGATATATATATATATGGAATTCCATATATAACAGCCAACTGCTTACTGCCAACTGCTGACTGCTTACTGCCAACAGCCAGTTGCTTACTGCCAACTGCCACACATATTTGAATAAATTTAAATATTTATTTTGATTTTTATGTGAATTAAAAAAAAAACGGGCGTGGATTCAGGATTTTTTTTCGAGAGGGTCACGCTGGTAAAAAAAAAATCCAAACCAGAAATTTCTAGACAAAAAAAAAAAAAAAAATAGACGTAAAAAATTATTTCGGCGGGGGTGGGCTTCTTATGCTTCATATCTTCATATCGATGACATTTTAAATACCAAATTAATAGGATCCGCGTTTTCGGAGGGGGGGGGGGGTCCAAGGTCCCTTTAAATTGGTTTAGTTTGTACACTTAATAACTTTTACAATACAAATTTCAGAGGGGTGGTTCAGACCCCACCCTCTCTCTCTAGATCTGTGCATGTAAAACAAACTTATTACTAGTGTATAGATTGATAGGTGATAAAGAACATTTTTTGTTTGTTGTCTCATTTGAAATAGGTAATGAAATGACTATTTTCTGTGAGACAACATAACCTTTGGAGAGAAAAAAAAGTGAAGAAAAAAAAATAGTTGTTTTGCAGGGAATGGCGCTTTGAAAAAATCAATTTTCCATTAAATTCTATAGTGAAAAATTTCCTCAAATTAAAGATGTATATCTCTTAGTGTTCTAACGCTTCAAATACACAGATCTAGGGGACAGCATCCATTCAAAATTTGTACAGACATTTATGTATTGACTAAACGAACTAAAACTCTAAAACTGCCCTTGGACCCCCCCCCCCCAACCCCCCTCAGAAAACTGACGTTGATCCGTGTTAAGTTGGTATGAAAGTCATAAATATGAAGCATTATTTAGCAGCCCCCCCCCCCCGGCCTCCCCCAGAATAATTTTTCACGTTTAGGAAAGGGGTTTACTTTTCTTTTCCTTGTTAAGAAATTCCTGAGTTGGATTTTTTTTTACCCCCCACCGTACCCACCGTTATCACAGGTACTTGGGTCTTGGTTTATAAATATTTATACATGTATTTTACTGAGGTGTAAATATGACTGATTTTTTTTTTACAAAATAGAACTAGCAAATTTATAACCATAATGCAAATTGCAATTTGGGTAGCTAATTGAAAGGGGCTAAACCCCCCAAAAAAGATTTTTTTTCCCCATTCTTTCTCGATCGATCATGACAAAGAGCAAGCGGCGGGTGTGACCGGTCAGCAGGAGATGCTCACTCCGCCAATGGCACCTAATCCCACCTCCGATGTTTTGGGGGTCCGTGTTGGCTCAACTGCTCCTGTTTTGTATGGTTTAGTGGATCTTTTGATCTTGAATATTGTTCCTTTCTCCGTTTGTTTCGTTCATAGAATAACCGAGATGTATTACAGCCACGTAGCATCTTTTTGAAACTGCTCCCGTTTTGTATGGTTTAGTGGACCTTTTGATCTTGAATATTGTTCCTTTCTCCGTTTGTTTCGTTCATAGAATAACCGAGATGTATTAAAGCCACGTAGCATCTTTTTGAAATTGGGGGAGGGGGAGAGAGAGAGAAAAAAAATTACTAACTGAAAAAGTAGATAAGCGAAAAAAAGGAAAGTTGCCCATAATCGAAAATCCTATTTAGTTGGGGGTGGGGGGGGTGTAAAAGCCAATTTCTTTCAATGCCAACTTTTTTCAGCACCAATTTCTTATACTAAATTTTACTTACCGGTATATCACAAGTATTAAGTTGGGAGGACCAACCAGCCGGATTCAGGGGGAGGGTTCGGGACCCACCCCCCCCCCCTCATTGATTTTTTTTTTACAAGTGTCATTTTATCTTTTTGTTGCATTGATAAGACTCTTGAGTTGAATCCATTTTCCTGTACAACTGTGAAATATATATACAAAGTTCTACGTAACAGGAAATAACGCAATATACAGGTACAGATCAGGGTACTAGTGAAGTCACAAAATGTACTCAGGCCTCAACGTCAGAAAACTGCATTGTTACGTTATAGAGTGCTGATATTCTTTTGCTGATAAAATGCATGCATGCTGCATGTGTTTTTTTCTTTATGAATTCCTACTGCCACACATGTTTGAATGAATTTTCATATCTATATGATTTAACAAAAAAAGAAAAAAAAAAGAAAAAAAAACAGTCGCGGATCCGTTCATTTTTTCAAGGAGGCAAGGTCTGCCACAAAAAAAAAACTAACCCATAAAAATTCTTGACAAGATAAAAACGACAAAAAAACCCTGTAAACTCCTTTCCTATAGGTTAAAAAAATTATTTCGCTGGAGGGGGTTGGGTTTGACATCTTCTGATTCATATTTTCATATCTATGACTTCGTACCGACTGAGCACGTGTTCGCATTTTCTAAGGAGGAAGGAGTCCTAGGTCACGTTTAATTGGTTTAGTTTGTACATTAAACTACCCCCGGTATGACTGAACAATTTCTAAAGGGGTGGTCCGTAACCCCCACCCTCCCCATTAATCTGCATGTAAAACATAACGCAGAGATATAAGAATCTTTAATTTGAAAAAAAAATCACTCTGGAAATAAACGGATTTAATGTAAATTTACTTTCAAAACATCTCCTGTGAAACAACATTTTTTCTTCAAGTTTTTTAGCTCACCTGAGCCGAAGGCTCAAGTGAGCTTTTCTGATCACATTTTGTCCGGCGTCCGTCTGTCCGTCTGTCTGACTGTGAACTTTTCACAGTTTCGACTTCTTCTCAAGAACCGCTGGACCAATTTTAACCAAACTTGCCACAAAGCATCCTTGGGTGAAGGGTATTCAAATTTATCCAAATAAAGGGCCACGTCCTCATTCAAGGGGAGATAATTGAGAATTAGTTAAAATTTAGTAGTATGTTTTAAAAATCTTCTTCTCAAGAACAACTGTGCCAGGAAGATGAAACTTATGATGAAACATCCTCAGGTAGTGTAGATTCAAGTTTGTTCAAATCATGACCCCGGGGTAGGGCGGGGCCACAATGGCCGACCAAAGTTTTATATTAGAAATATATAGGAAAATTCTTAAAAATCTTCTTCTCAAAACCAGCGGAGCCATAACTACTCATATTTATATGGAAGCATCCCCAGGTAGTGTAGATTCAAGTTTCTTGAAATCTTGACCCCCAGGGTAGGACGGGGCCATATTGGCCGACCAAAGTTTTATTTAGAAATATATAGGAAAATTCCTTACAAATCTTTTTCTCAAGAACAACAAAGCCATAATTGCTCATATTTATATGGAAGCATCGCCAGGTAGTGTAGATTCAATTTTTTTCAAATCATGACCACCAGGGGTAGGGCGGGGCCGCATTGGGCGACCAAAGTTTTATATAGAAATATAACAAAATTCTTTAAAAAACTTCTGAAAACAGCAAAACCATAATTGCTAATATTTATATGGAAGCATTCCCAGGTAGTGTAGATTCAAATTTGTTCAAATAATGACCACCGGGGGTAGGGCGGGCCACAATGGCCGACCAAAGTTTTATATAGAAATATATATAGGAAAACTCTTCAAAAATCTTCTTCTCAAGAATAGCAAAGCCATAATTGCTCATATTTTTATGGATGCATCCTCAGGTAGTGTAGATTCAATTTTTTTCAAATCATGACCGCCAGGGGTAGGGCGGGGCCAAACTTTTGGATTTAAACTTTTCAATAGTATTGTACACCAATTTCTACTTTTCCCTAGCCATAATGCTCGGGTGAGCGATGTGGCCCATGGGCCTCTTGTTATACCCCGGTATTTTCTTTTCAAAGAAAGTTGGGGGGGGGGGGGTGTTAAAGATTACAAACAGAAAATATAGTCATTTCATTACCACTTTCAAATGAGTTAACAAATAAAAACGTACTTTATGACTTTATGAATATCAGTGGCATATGTTGAATATTAACGGGGAGA